TATATATATATATATATATATATATATATATATATATATATATTCCATCTATTTTATCGCAAGATTAAAATCTCTCAACGACTGAGATTCTTCCTTCTTACACACAACCTCGTTAATAAGTATATTATGCATCTGAAATAATTTTACTTTTTTTTTTTTTTTTTTTTTTTAAATTTTCTTTAATACCCATTTGTTTCGTTCGAACATGTATCCTTCGAATAAAGGCGATAATAATAATCTGCGTAGAATTACCATCTTAAAAATACTGGTTCTCTGTTTCTTCTCTGATTTTTTTTTTTTTTTTTTTTTCATTCATCGAGAATAAACAATCTAACATTCCTACAACGTACCTTGGAACATGCTGTCGATAGTTTGGAATACTGAAAACTAAAGTATTTAGTGTGTACATAGAGATGACGACTTAACGACGAGAGTAAAGGAAGATACAAGAGATGAGAGAACAAAAACTGTAGAGCGAAAATGAGAAAATTATCTATGTACATGATGCACAGCGCGTTTCGTTAAACAATTGTAATCAAATCAGCTGCAAAGCGATGGCAATGAGAGGAATATTAAGAATAATAAATCAGCAATGTTTAATAATTACACTGAACATTCAACATGGAAGCAATAATAAATAATCGAAATGTCGAAATTTCTTTCAATTCGCTAATAAAAGAATCATCTAGATGTGGAAGATACGCGCAAGTAATTTTCTAGAGAACACAGAAGTGATCCTTGATCCAAATTAAATGAGAGAAAAAAAAAAGTATTAATCTTTAATTACTATGTTGCTTAACTTATTAAGAAAGAAGTAAGTTCTACTCGCTTCCTTTCAATACGCTGAAACATGAAAGTTAATACAGAAAAATATTAACGAAGTCAGATTATCTTCCTTTTTTTTTCTTTTCTTTTTTTTTTCTTTTTTGGTTTTTGTTTGTTTTCAAACCTTTTCGCAATAAGCACACTCGGGCGGGTTCTATCGATATACGATTACCTTTTAATCACTAATCAGTCAACATAATAATAATAATAATTACTTAAAATGCTAGATTTAAATCGTACTCGAAGAAAAAGAAATTAAAATTGCCATTTGCTTTTAAAGTCTTTAAACGATCACAAATAATTCCCGACGATCAAATACCACTACGTGTCTCACCCGTTCTTTTCTTTTTTTCTTTTTTTTTTCTTTTTTTCTTTTTTTCTTTTTTTCTTTTTTTTTTTTTTTGCTATTCATTTGTTTTGGCATAACCGCTAGTTAGTGATAGAACATATCATACAATGTTATGCTCTTAATGTTCGCGCCTTAATAAAAATTTTGTCGCCTTGTCGACGAGCTTCCTTAAATGAAGGAAAAACCGAGTACAAAGCTGTCATTTCTTTTTGGCTGGATTCCTTTGTGGTGTGGATGGTCTTGTGGCTTGACCCGTGTTCAAACTTAAGTACTGGTATTTAGCTTTCTTCTCTGACGGTTTCAAAATCTGCATGTACACCATGAATAAATAGATAAAACACGAACGAGATGCACCATGCAACATGCAACTCATAGAAAATTATAATACAATTATAATACGATATTGCACGTTATACAATTAGATTATTAACGCATAAAAAAATTACAATATAATTAAAAGTAATAGGTTCGCTTAAATTTCAATAATTTCAATAAATTCAGTATAATCCAATCTTATTGAAACAGAGCAATGAATAATTATAACGAAAGTAGATAGAAATGTTATAATTAAAATGTAGATTTTTATGTAACTGTAGGAAATTTAAAAGTGGAGATATTTAAAGTGGAATGCTTGCTTTAGAAAAATATGAAATTGCACGTACATTTAAAATAAATTATTATGATTTATTGGAATTTAAGCGAGCAACGTTATATACCGGATATTCGCGAATCTTACCTGAAAGCTGCACATTAGGGTTTCATCGACGCTCATCATTCCTCCGGCGTTGTCGAATTCTCCGCAGTAATTTGGCGCGGAGAACAGGGTAACCAGCTGCCGTTTCGCGAAAAATTCATAGCCATCCTCGACTACTTGATGTGCCCTACATATTAGATCCATATCATGGCGATTTAAGAATTTCGACACCACGTCTGGTCCGAATGTGAATGATACACCTCTATCGTTTTCACCCCATCCCTGAAACATGGAAGATAGAAATCCATAGTATGTTAGTTCAACGTTGTTCCAAGTATCGATGATAGATGCTTGAATTGCATAATGAAGAAACATTTTCTACCTGGACTTCTTTGTCCGGATCGGACCATAACAAGTCACAGAGAAGACCAGTGTCAGGTACATCTGTCGGACGCATTATTCTTTTGATTTGTTCCATATTCTGTTAGACAGAAGAACAACACAAAACATCTTTTAACAATTGAAATTTTCATTAAAATTTTCATTTATTTACAAGACAAAGTCCCTTGAGCGTAATTAATATTTTTAAATATCAAATATCAAATATCATTTTTAAATTTTAAATATCAAAACAGAGTATCTTTCTTCTTCTCTTTTGAGAATATTTCTGAAGGGATAATCTTGCTCTTACGAATGGTGAAAAATCGGCACTTTATTTTATGAAGATATTGATCTTTCGACATTCTAACAGGTACTAACTTTTCATACTTTCCTCCTTACATCGCGCGTATAAATAAAAAAAAAAAAAAAAAAATCAATGTCTCTAGTGGCAAGTTCTTTTGTAAATTTTCTTTCACGAACTAACATGCTACAGGCAATTTCAATTAAAGACGAAACGTTCGAGAAACATGGATATGCAATGGACACGAGCCAAATCTCGCTCCAAATTCAACGAAGGTTAATAGAATTTAATTTTTAAATTAGCAGCAGGACAAAGACACGTTCGTCAATTTAATTCTCATTTTCTGAATGAAAATTGAATAACAAACTTCCCCCGCGAGTGTATATTTCATACGATATAGTTTTTTCTGCCTCTGTGTTATATAAATATAAATCCACGGATTTTACGCTCCATTATATAAGTCAGTCAACAGTTGCGTGCGAACAACTGCAATTTTAACTCGTTTTAA